GCCATAGTAGTTGTCATGATTCTTAAAATCAGACAGTGGACTTGGTACATTATCAAACGTTTCGCCTGCGACCTAACCAGAGGCCATAACATCTTAGTCTTCATTTCTTATTTATGACGATCAAGATTTTTTGGCTGCTGTTTTGGTCAGAGTCTCCTTTCGATGCGTAGAAATGGTCCGACCTCGTTTTCGTAGCTTGGTCATATTGTCAAAGCGACCTAGTTGGACTTACTTTGTCCAAAGTCCTCTGCTTTAGTAGTTGTCATAAGTCCCGGCGTTGGAACTTGTATCTGGTACATTCCCAGACGTTTTGCCGACATCGTAATCGGCATCGTCAGCGAATCTTACTATTTAGCAAAAAGTTGGTCATCGGATTGACTTCATTTTTTTTCTTAAGTGAGTAGGTTTTCGAGACTACACAACTAATATATTGACTTCATTTGTCTATTTGACGAGTTGTAGATTGGTGATGAGAATTGAAAGACTCACTGACGATGCCAATTATGATGTCAACGAAACTGCTGGTAATGTACCAAGTCCCCGGTCCAATGCTGGAAATTATGATAACTACTATTTCAAAGGACCTCCTACAAGGTGGATCCAATTAGGTCCCATTAGCAACACGACTAAGCTGCGAAAACGAGGTCAAACGACTTCTGAGTAAGCATATATTTGCTATTACAATCGACTACATTACTTGTGCTAATATTGAGTTGGTACCGGGGCAACCAGTAGATTTTTAATAAGAGCTATATACACCCTTGTATGCCTAATGTGATAAAAGAATGATGAGACCGAGGCGAGGTCAAAACTACAGTCCAGCCCGGATAAGAATACCGTTCGGGAGGCAAGGCTAAGTAAATTCCAATAGGATCGTGATGCCTACTTATAGCAGTGAGAATATTCAGCTATCAATCTTTCATTGCCTTATGCTACCTAGGGTAGGTATCGTTTTTATTAAAAACTACTCACTCCATCTGAAAGTGCTGCATTGTGCATTACTTAAAACATACTTATCCCTTTTCTACACCTTTAAGAAAGTGCTGATATTTAGAAAATTTGATTAATATGAGAGGTAACAATCTTCAGAGTCTACATTTCGACGGAAGTTGCAATGACTCTCTGAATAAATACAGCCTGAACTGTTATGTAGGAAAGGGTAGTGAATACATTCTATGAGGTTAATAAGGAAGATAAAAATGGATAAACCTATATAACACTTAAAAAGGCTAATCTAAGTGATAATTATGAATATTTTTCAATAAATATGCGTGAGTAACTGAATTGAGTATGGTTCAGATAAAGAAGTGCTCACGATTAAACTGGGTAAGTAATTCGCCTTTATCATCAAGATTCACCATTTCCCTGTTAAAGCAACAAAAGTTAAAGTTTATACCCCCTATTAATTTGATAATTTTGCTTTTTACTGAACTTCATGTACCCCAAAAGTACGTTCCAATCCAGTCGGGCCAATTCTCATCAGTAATAATTGTATGATTTGAAGTCTGCATGCTTGGCTTAAGGGGCAACCGACAAACGTCCTAGTGACAGCCACGCTAATTCGTCCCTGCTAGAGTGGAATTTAGCTTGCTTTGCCGTGGAGTTGTGGTTGCCATAGGGCTAAAGAGCCTAGGATCATGTTGTCTAGGGGTAACATGGTTGTTTCATGTATCACACTTCCATTGCTCAAGTCTCGCCTTGGGCTGAATTAGACAATAAGGTGGTGATGAAACTGCGGTTCCTGCTTTGGAGATTCATGACTCAGTAAATTTTAAAACAAAATCAAGCGATAAATTTAATTTATCTCTAAAGGATTCTGTATCTGTTTCATTACCATCATTCGAGAGGCTTTATTAGGAGTTCACGATGTCCTGCCTACCCTATAGAAATAAATGTATAATGTGGCGTAAAAAAATTAAATCAAATTCTAATGGTACTTCTTTATTTATGTAGACTATGCGTACTCTTGCAAGTGCAAAGGAGCCTGGTGACACCAGCAGACCACCCGACCTTTATGTGCGCCTGGGGACAGTCCTGACTGGTCAATATAAAAACTGGCTAGTTGATTTTTTATTGTCTCCTTCAGCGATGCTCCAGCCTGATCTACACCAGGCACCCACCTTGAGTAATCCACCTCTCAAGGGGAGATCCAGACACATATTTTACTTATTTAGGTATATGAGCAGGTTTTAGGATAAGTTATAAGAATAGGAAAGATTAAAACGAATTTAATCTTGAGCTGGAGCTCAAAGACAAGAAGCAATTGTTCTCTTTACATCTTAAAAATGATGACGCTAGTTTCTGCTATAACGTGAGCCTAGGTCTACGCTCTGTTCCTCATGACTCGTAAGGGTCATAAAAATAACCATCTGATCTTTATGC